AATTATGCAAGATAGTTAACAATGCAAGATAACTAAAGTGGAATATGGGCATGATTTAAGATAGGAAAACCAGAAACAGGAAAAATAAAGTTTTTGTTGGCACACCATGTTTACACATGTAAGAATCAGATTTACAAAATGGAATTTCTTTGTTTTACCTTTTATGAAAAATATTGTGAATACCCATCTGCTTTTGAAATACGTAAGACAATAGTACATAAGAGGTAAACAAAGTTACAAAGAATACTGAAAATTAGGACAAAGCCTGATTTTATAAGCATAAAACATCATAAATCAGGTTTCAAAAATACAGCAAAACTATCAAAGTAATTGAAAATGGCCAACCGGTAAGACTATTCAAAAAGTTGCTTCTTTAAATGCTACAGAGGTTTACTACTCACGCTCCTGGGGGAATTCTGCACCACTGAGCACGTGTACAATTCATATCCCCTGCAAAAATGTTTTGCTTTCCTGCAGAAAAATGACTTTTGACAGGGAAACAAAGGGAAGCCGCAAGAGCAGTCACACGCCCCTCTCAGGCGGCCTGGGCATGTTGGCTTGGGTGCCTGGAGCAGCCAGTGGAGATGTAAATCACGGCGGGGGGGGGGGGGGGAGGGGCTGGGTGTGCAGACATGCAAGCAAAAGAGACTCTGTCCCTCTCACTCCCTATTGTGGTGAATCCCATGTGGAGGATTAGGGCTTCTGGGTGTTTGGAGGTATGCGTGAGGTAGACTCTATCCCTTCAGGCAGAGCAGAATGTAGCAGCCTGCCGGCTAAGTTGTTCCCATAGTTGTTAGTGAACTGATCCCATTCTTAGTGAATTCCCCCTGGGAGCATAAAACAGGCGTAAAAGTTTTAAGGCTCCTTTACATTGCCAGAATAGTGTAAAGGAGCCTTATTGTAAATGACAGTAACCTTATCAATGCTTATAGTGTTTTAGTGATTAGAACTGGTCTAAATTTTTGGACTGAAAAATTTTCCTATCAAAATGTGCTCCAAGAACTGTTTACCGTCGGCCTTTCTGGAAATGGTCAGTAGCGAATATAAATTGTGAGTTTGACTCCCCAGTCTTTACTTGCTCTTCAGTTGCCTATAATGTAATATTGAGCATATGGATGCATATATTTGTTGACTAATAACGAGAAATAAAGGGTCAAACCTAACTACATTACAATTAGACAAAGGGAATTTGGGGTTTTCTTCCAAAACTCCCCACTCCCATGCTCCATGCATTGTATTGTAGTTTTAAATAAATTACCAAAATAAGTGAAACTGGCATGGTTATATGGCGTTATTTTTACAAAATATGAGGAATTTTAAAATATTCTGCACAGAATTTTTAATTTTTTAGCGCAGAATTCACCCAGGAGTGTACTACCAAAGTCATGAACATACTGTGTTAAGAAATATTGCAGATCTCAACTTTTTCCCTTCCCTGATTTTGAATAATGGGAAACTGAACCTAAGGAACTGTTTGGTATTTACAGGCTGATACCAAGCTTGTACTTGTTATAAATTATACTTATTAAGTATATACTTATTATGCTTATTAAGCTTATACTTGTTACAAAATCATCAATCTGGGCTTCAAGTTTAAAAAAGAATCAACATGTAGAAACATTTGATCTAATTGGAGGCACTAACATGAATAAACATGAGGACATGTTCCATGGCATCAGCATTACAAATAAATTTAATTTGCATTAAGAACACTGTTACAACAAAGGAATAAAAATACATATACTGGCTCTCAAAACAATGACCAGTACATCATCATTCTCCTGACAACCAATAATGGGAGATTTCAAAAAGGACTTGGGTTGTGGTTTACTTTTCTCTGGCTTCAGCAAATAGCCTGAAAAGTTACACACTTCGTGGAAAAGTGAAATTTAAACTTCCTTGTAAAAAAAGTTAAGCAGTAAGGAAGCCTTAGAGCAAAATCCTGACTGGTGCAATGCGGGTATGCTAGTGAGTAAGAACCACTTACGGAGGCTTTTCCCATCCACCCCTTCCCACAGCAGCAGGAGGGCATTCCAACCTCATGCTGGGAATGATGACTAGGTACCACACCACAATGTTGCCACTACTGGCAAGCACACTGATGCTTTTCAAAGGACAAGCAACATGCATGTCACTGTACAGCGTGACTGGCTGCCCTGAGCCATCTTGCCCAACAACAAGACAGTGTATCCAATATTTCTGTAACACTTGTACTCTCCAGAGTAAGTCTTTATCAGAGAGGCCAAGATTTTGCCCCTAATACTTCTTTTGGGGATTTAAGCTGTAGATTAAAATAACAGTCTTACCTATTTGTTATTTTACAGTAAATGTTCATCTTAAAATTTAGAACACTAGTAATCTGCTGTCTTTCTTTTATTAAGATCCCACTCTGACCTAGGAACATTTCCTTATGATAAAACACTTCAGCTCCTTTTGCCTGAGTATTTTCATTCATGATTTCTATTTTTACTGTGGACATTGTTCTTCAATCTTGAGTAAAATGTTTAGTAGCTTTGTGGGGAGAAAAAAACAACGGCAATAGACGATGTGCAGTACTAAATTTGGGGGCTATTTGGCTGACATAACACAAAGTTCCTCTATGGAAAGCGAGCTAATACTTAAAAAGGAAAAGTGTAACACTAAGGTCTTTGAGAATAAAAAAGTATAAGGGCTTCCATTTTACAGCATCACTAACTTCACAATATCGTATCTATGAGGACAAACAATTTTCATAGTCATAAGTTTACTTTTAAAAATATTAAACCTAAGACATCAATTAGCAATGGTGAATTCTGCACCCAAAGGTGGCTGACAAAGAGAGATAGCTGTTTGGATGAGATTAGCTGGGATTTTCTGTATACAATAACCATACTATATACTCAGAAGTTGAGCATTGTGGTTTAGACAGCTAACTTGTATCTTCATGGCACAATGCTTGCTTCTAGGTAAGTTTGACTTTACAATTAGGGCATAAGTGGCTCCCTGTTCACAAGTTCGCCATCTCCTTTGAATAAATAATAGATGTTATGTAACACTGGGTTTGAGCAATGAATCTTCTAAGGCAGCTCTTCTTCCATATAATGCTCGTTGCTCTCTCTCACGGATACCACATGCCCTTTTCCTTTGTTGTACCGGTTGATTCTTATGTAAGAAAGAGGTTTAAAAAAAAAAAAAAAAAAAAAAAAAAACAAAAAAAAAAATAAAAAAGGATCCAGAATTTGTGGTTGCAAACAACTGCAAACTTTTAGGCAGCTGGGAAATCCTGAAGACCTCTACAATTACTGAAATATCTACACGATGATAGTATAGCCCAAAAGGCACTCCAAGGTGCCCTGCAAAGTGAAAAATACTGGTTTATGACCTTTTCTCCTTTCCTATGATGTATAAAAAACATTTGTAAGCTTAAAAAGCGTTCCTATCAGGAATGTCATGGCTGGTCTTCCCTACTTTTTGATGAGAACTCAGAGGTCTCAAGCCTGATTTAGACACACACTCCTACCGATTTAACTAAAAAGATGTTATTTTAAACCAATTTAGTTAAACTGATGCAAGTTCATGGTTTGCTATTCTTATTTCAGTTTAGTTTAACCTTGTTAAAAATAAACAGATCAAGTTAAACTGAAATAAGCCACTCAAATTCAGTTAAAACACAAACTTCAATTTAGGTAAACTAGTGGGTTTAAAAATCACACTCTTCAGTCAAGTCCTCAGGATCACAAGCTACATCTTCTTAACTGAATGGACAGGACTGTTGAATCTTTACCAAAGACATCTTATCTCCCAGTTCTTTTTCTCAGAAAGAGATAATTCATGAAGAAGACCACACAACATTTTAAGCCTGACTAAAAACTGCTTTCCCTCAGTCAGGTTTCACTTGCTTTATATTTCTGAAACCTATTAGTTTTCTGCAGCTGTCCATATAATCCTCCAAAAGAAACAAAGAAAACTTTATTATTGTAATGTAAGAAAGGAGAACTCCTGCCAAAGTACATACCCGATAAGCCTTCTGTTTACATAATAAAGATGCAACAACTAAAAAAAGAGCACAAACCTACTTTTTCTTTGCAGGTTACTACTGAGAATGGCAGACAGATACACAAGGGTAAAAGATAACCACAAATGACTTAAGATGAAGCACAAGACAAGTTATTCATTTGCTCATGAAGGTGCCATTCAGCGATAGGTCAACAGATGTGTTTTATACCATACTCATCACTATAGTAATGTCCTTTTTTCCCCCTTCTTCTTTGTCCACTTCCCCCATGTCAGAAAGATTTTCTGACCTACATAGGTTTTGTACAAGAAGTCCTCTGGATTATGCAGGATCTAAGTCAACGAAAGTCACTGAAGGGAGAATATCTTCCACCCATAGCAAACCTGAAACCTGCAGAACCACAGAGTTGGATGCAACATTCAAGAGGCAATGGCTAGAAATGGTAATCAGAACAAAGATAGAAAGATAATCAAGCTGTTTCTTGATGTATCAATGTCAGTTCTCCAGGTGTAACAGTTTGATCAGTGTTATTTCTGAAGAGCAAGACATCTGACACTTGTTGTTAGCTCTATAAAGCCCAACCATATTAATAATTGCCTTATATAAGAGACACACACGTCTTTTATATAAAAAAGTCTTATATAATCACTTAATTTTCAGTTAGGAGCAGTGACAACAAATCTATGGGGATGGAAATTCTATTCATGAATAGAAATGCAGGTCTTCCCATGGATTAAGTATCCTTCAGAATCTAAATTTCATTGCTACTCTTCAGGTTGCAATGACAAGCTTCTTAAATAGATTGATACAACTTCGCAAGCTGAGTTTGCAGTCAGAATGTTTCAAGTTTTGAATTTATGAAGTCAAATATTCTTTAGGCCATTCAGATAGTGGATGCCATTGTCACTTATTAAAAATTAGGGTACAAGTGAAGTTTATAGCACTGTTAGCTATAAAGTACTATACTCCTACAGTAACTGGAGTTACTGGAGGTTTTTCAGGATATTTAAGAGGGCGTGTGCACGCAGCGGGGGATGCAGGTGAGAGGTGGCAGTATATAAACCTTATTAAGGTAACAGCAAATGAGCTAAAATATTTTTGAATGCTTTCAAAGCCATTTGATGGAGAGAGAGGAATTGATAACTCTCTCAGATCCTTAATTTTCAGTATTCTTTGATGCTTTGTTTTCCCATATTACAGATTTACAACATTTAAATAAAACATTTTCTAACAGTCTTTCCATTTCTGTTTACTATATTCCAAGCTTTACACAAATAATTCAAAGAAACCCAAAAGCGTTACCCATATTTTCTATGTATGGCTAATATTACTTCGTCATACTAAACACAGATATCTTTCTGCAGTGCACTTTTTTTTAAAAGTAAAATTAAGATTTTTAAAAATTAATTCCCAATCCCACATTTCTGATTACAGTATACACAAAGCAACTGAAAAAAAATTGTCATTCTAATTTGTTCTCAAAGTACTCAATTTAGGATCTGTTATTCAAACTAAACAAAACTTGTCAAATTTATACTTTACTCCTCCTTACTATACATTTTAAAATTAATGTACAGAAAATACATTTCTGAGACTAAAAGATGTTCAATATTTCTACATCAACAGGATAATCTCACATTAGACTAACAAACGAAGATCACAGAGAGCAGGAAAGATAAGAGTAACAACTTCTGGGTGAATCTCTTTCAACAAAATTGCAAAGGTTCTTTATTAAAGTTAAGTACCTTTGTAGAGGCACCAAAAATGAATAGCCCTTTCAGCTGAACTTTTAAAAAAATTTAATTTTAATTCAAAAAGAGATCTTGAACTTATTAGGTACATATATGTCCCTGTCCCACTGCCCTGTAACATACATTCAGCAACTTAAAGATTCAATATTTATTTTTATAGACTCCATATATATTATATATTTAATATATAATATATATTTATATATATACTTACAGATACATACACACTCAGCAGGATTATAGTTACTCTTTTTAAACACTTTGATCAGTGTTGATAATCTATTCCAATTATTTTGTGAATTGAATGGAATTTGTCTATTACCTGGAAAAATGAAATTTTAAAGACCCAAATGGAATTTGTGGATCAATAGTAGCACCAATACTGTACTTGCGAGGGTTTATATGGCCATTCATTACTTTAAAATGACTGCAGGGATTGAGACAATATATATTTTTAGAATATTCTTCTTACAGCATGAGCATTCCTGCACTACTTAGGCAGCAATACTTGCGGAATCCATGCATTTGTTCCTACCCTAAATTCAAATATTACATAGCCTTCTTTACTGTAATATACAGTATTTCTTCTGTCCTGTTGGATTTTTTTGCTTTTCACACAGAAAAGTGATCAATATCGTTCCAACAGAAATTATTTTCTCTTCCCATTGTATGGCTCAGTTTCAAGATTGTTTAACTAGGCAGCCACCATTAGTGTTACCTGTACCTCAATACCACAAAGAGTCATCAGTCAACGACTAAAGTAATATACAAAGTTTTGAGGGCAGCTTAGTGTTAATGGAAAGCAAGGTACTCACAGGCGCTACCTTTTTAACTAGCCCTCCAATATCAGCCACATAAAAAGGTTAGTCACAGTTCCAATACCATAATTCAGCAGTTAGTTACCTACCATTCGGTAACAAAAGTTAAACCCACTTGTGATTTTAAACAACAATATTCACCCTGAGAATACAGAGGAAGCATTTAAGAATAAAATCTGATATGTGTTTTTTCTTCACGTATGCATTCTTCCATTTTTTTCTTCAGCCCCTCTGGGGTACATGGGTTTGAATCGAGAAGTTAACTTCAGATATTTCCTTTGTGAGCTGATTATTCATGCCACAGTCAGATACTGGTGATAGAAAAGCCCAAAAAGGCTTGTGAAGAAGAGGCAAGCAGCAATCCACCAAGTGAGAAAAGACAGGAGTCCTCGGAACAGGAGAGGAGTGAAAATGTTCTTTAGGCTGCCCAATGCCATTGTTATTTGTACTACAGTTACCTTCATCTTTCCATCAGCAGGTGGAGACTCAGAATAAACTGAATTGGGGAGTGGACTGTTCTCCATTGGAAAGTCAGAGCTAGATTCTGGATAGATGCCCCAGGAATAATTACCTGTTAAAAGTAAGATAATAAATGAAGCAACTAGATTCCAACTCCTTTTACTTCGGTCAAGTCTATAAATATAGCAGCAGTACCCTAGACATATTAGAAATACAAAAAATTCTTTCTAAATAACTTTCTAAATATAAAATTGCAACATGCTTGATGTCGACTCCCTAATTTCACTACAGTACATCTGGTAAGACAGTGTAAGACATATCCTCCATGATGGTCTGGTGTTGCTCTATTCTTTTATTAATACTAGAAGAAAATCCATGCCTCATTTACAAATAATGGTCAAGAAGTCCATGCAGTTTTAAGGATAAGACTTGTATTAATTTTAGAAAATTTCATTAACAGATTTCCATAAAATGATACATGTAAAAAGCATCATTGATAGTTTTTTACATTTTATAAACAAACAAAAAGATCCATGTTTCAATATACATAAAACATCTCAATTTGTTTGTTATACTAAATAGTTTGCCTGTTGGAATATCAATCACAAATAGGAATTAACATCTGGTTAACAGGTGTCTTAAAATCAGAAAGACGACAGAATAGTCTTAAAGCTACTGCTTTAAATGACAAGGAAACATCTCTGTATATTATTGGTTACACATGCTTTCTTTTAATGGACAGATATAAAATGATAAAAGCCTTTCATAATAGGATCAGAAATTTTTTTAGTAAACATATGCACTGTTTTCCTTTATCAAATTTTGCTTACCTAGTGTTTTCAAAAGCAGAGTTGTATGAAGCAGCATTACCAGAGGTGCCACATACTGCAATGCAATTACACAAAGGTAATAAAATACTCGGGCCACCTGAAACCAACAAAATCCTTATGAGTGACTTCATGTGCAAAAAAATCTCAACACAGCTGACATGTTATGAATGATCATAGCAAACATTTAAATACAACTGTCAGTAAAACGGAGCAGCTTAAAGAAATGTGATCCTTACGAGAGAAGCTACATTCTAAAGGTTTTTCCCACCAGATTTTTAGTGTCTAAAGTACTGTCTTCAAAAAGACTTTTTATGATGAATTTCAGCCTTAATAAAAGTTTCATAATACTTAAAGAGCTCATTACTTTACTAGTTATTTCCTTACAAAAGGCAGAGTTAAAAAAAAAACCATTCATCTCACTTTTTCTAAAAAAATCCTATCATTCAATGATCTGTATTTCTATACACTAGAAGTTTGTTAAAAAGTAGTCTGAAAGTTAATGTACTTTGGATAAATTTTCAAAAGTGCTGGAGTGACTCAGAACCTAAGTCTCATTTTCAAAAGTGACTTAGGCAAATGCCAAAGTCCCACTGTCTTTCAATAAGACTTTGGCTCCTAAGGGTCTAAGTCAGGGGTGGGCAAACTTTATGGCCTGAGGGCCGCATCAGGGTATGGAAATTGTATGGCGGGCCATGAATGCCCGGTGGAGGAGTAATATGGGGGGGCTCTATAAGGGATGTTACCGAGGTGGGGGGGCACTCATGGGGTGTGGCGTGGGGGGAGGGGGACTCTATTGGGGAGGCACTGGGGACTCCTAGGGGCCCTGCTGGCAGTGACACCAAGGCAGCCGTACCAGGCACTGCCACAGGCAGAGGCATCCTAGCTGGGATGGGTGTGGCCCCTGGGTGGTTTTGAGGCTCTTAAGGGTGGGGCCATGACCGGGAAGGGATCAGGCGTGCTGCCGTGTAGGGGCAGGGTGAAGACGTGCCTGCGCAGTGTGGCACTGCGTGCCGGAGGATGGTGCTCATCAAGGGAATTGAGAGTCGGGGACTGGAGACCGCCAGGCAGGCGGAGCGGGGCAAGCCCCTGACCCCACTCCCTGGCGGGAGCTCGAGAGCCCAATAAAAACGTCTGATGGGCCAGAAGTGGCCCGCGGGCCGTAGTTTGCCCACCCCTGGTCTAAGTCCCTTTTGGAAAATGGGATTTAGGTGCTTTTGTTTAACAATGTAAGATATTAGTAAATGAAAATAGTCAGAAAAAATGAGAAATACAAATAGAAGCTCCATGGTTAATTCAAATGGTTAACAGAATTCACTTAAAGAATCTTCACTTCAGATTTAGATAATATTTTATTGGATTCCACTTTTAAATTATTTTATTTCTTCACAAGGAGTAGGTCCTCCTCTCCTAATCACTAATGTTACATTACATATTTATATACAACTGTTGACCCAAAGGGCTCGGGGGGAAATAAGAGGAAAAGTCAAAAAACAAAATCAGCAATGAAAAAGTCAACTATACATCTTAAGTGAGAACAAAATATTGGCCTTGCCTAGAGGATGAAAAGGCATGAAATTCTTTAAAATAGTACTAAAAAGAGGGAAGGGTTTTGAGATGAAAACGTGTCAAAAAGACAGTATGGGGAAGAGAGTTCCAAAACACTGGGTACTGAAGAGGAAGTATGATAACCATGGAACCAAAGCATAAGAAGATGACTGTTCCCCCTTTGATAGAATATGATCAAACAGAAAAGTAGCAACCAATAAAGGAAAAGGATTGGAAGGATCATTTCCTGGTTACAGCAACAGAAGACCAAAAAGAGTGGAGGTGATACATAAACAGTAAGATAAAACAAAAATTTATTTTGTTCAGTGGCTTTGGACTGACTGAAAAGGAGGATTTTGGAAGACTGAAGTAGAGGGCAATGTATGGAACAGATTTTTGCTATATGAAAATTACAAAACTTGTAGTTAACTGAGATATTTAGAAGATGTTGCATTTTCCAGATAACATGAGAAATATGGGTGCAGAAAGATTCTGATTAAAGAGAACTCCGAGGTTCCTAGCAGCAACAACTGGACTGATTCTGGTATTGATGACCATGAGAAGAGCCCTGTGAATAAATCCACCTTAATCCTGAAGCCCTACACTAGTCACCATGCTTCTGAGTAAAAAATATGGGCCAGAAATCCCCTTCAAAGCCCCTTTACGGCCATTGCTTAATATTTTGCTGGTGACACAGATACTACACTAATGGTCATAGTGATAAGTACTATTATTAAAAAACCTAAAATAGAAAAGAGCATTTTTGTGCTATATGACACTTTCCATACCACATCTCCCATGGGACTGATTAACATGTTGCACTCAGTACTTCTCTGCAAAATGAGCCTATCCCTCCCAAATAGTTGCATAGTGGCCTTACAAATTTCTATCCACCCATTTGGTTATAGTAATTTGACTGCTAAAAGAAATAATTATTCAGTGTTATCATGGTAACAAGATGGACAAGTACTTGTACATCCAGGCTAGTATATTTTTGTGACACTTTTACAAAATTGCCCTTTCATTCCGCTCCTTACATTTAAAAAAAAAATCTCTTCCATTTTATACTATATATAGTTCCTTTCACAGTTCAAGGATCTGCGCACATTTAGCACACTATACAGCCATACAACCTTACCTTTGCCTCTGTGGAAGTGGGAATATAACAGCACCCTTGCTTCTCCTAACAAAGCCACCCATTTCCTCTGTGCCCACCATAAGTCCAAATCACCACTCATTCATACACTCCACAGACCTTTGCAGAAGTCTGTGGTCGCACCATTCATCTAGGAAATACAGTAGCCGATTGCCAGAGATTATGCTGGACAAAAAGGTTGAGATAGGTACAGTACTGTGACTGCCTGTAGGGACTCCTTAGGACATGGAGCAAAGGAAGCAGAGTTTAGCTGTGTGGCTGTGGTGTGTGGAAAATATCAGTTCAACTCTGCATTTCCTGGATTTGAGGGGTTTTCCCCTTGCAATGGGAGCCTTCTTATAAAAAAACACCTACACTCAGGAAACCTCTCAGTTTACGATTTTTGGATGTGAATTCTGAGCCTGTGGAAAGGTACAAGGAAAGGGCAATGTGTTGTGCCCAACAAGCTATGATAAAATTTGTGTGTGAATCACTTCATGCATTTATCATTTTTGTTCCATTCTACTTACCATTTTCTGCAGATCAACTGTACTTATTCTGCCAGCCTCCTTTTTCATCTGATCCACACATTTCTGTGCTAAATTAAGGTAGGCTTGCAGGTGTTTGCGCATCATGGCCAACCGTAAAGCACACAATAGGATAATTATCCACAGTCGTACCGTATCAAATGTTGCTTCTGACATTCTGTAGATCAAAACAGCATAGTAATATTCTCCAAAAGTTACCCTATATATACTTAATGCTATGTATCTGTTTACATATTATCTGTACAAACAACTTGACATGTCTTGAAGGAAATATTTAAATACAATTATTTATATAGCTCATGTTCAAGCAATATACAATTTTCCCTTCTCCCTTAGTTCCTTACACTTCCCACTCATGCCATAGCATTAGGCCTATATAAATATCCAAGTGACTGCAACGGGAAAAACTGGGAAGTTCTGTCAGTATTGAAGATTTCAAGCAATCTAGAATAATAAATAAGAACTATGCATTCCAAATGCTTTAAGATTTGGAATCTTCACTATACAGCTGTAAAATATCAACTGATGTACAGCCTAATTATATCTTTGGCCTTCTAGCCAGGTTAAATGCCAAGTCACTGCAATTTATTTCTAATTAAAAAAAAAAAAAAAAAAAAAAAAAAAACACTAAAGAATAAAGTACAAAAACTCAAATTGTAATTAAATTGAGTTCACTGCCAATGCAACTTTCTTTGGCATATGAAGTGGTCACAGCTATTAGACAGCTTTTATTTCTAGAAACAAAACAGTAAAAAAAATTTCAAACTGTTATTTTTACTGTGATCTTTTTTTGAAAAAATTAAAATAATAAAAACTAATTACTTAGCTTCAATAAATAAAGTAACACTGCAGCCTCTCTCCAATATACAAATCAGGAAACATGTAGGCTATGTTTACCACAGAGACTATACAAGCATAACCCCATAGTGTAGATGCAGCCTACACTGCAGAAGGGGTTTTTCTGTCAGTGTAGGAACACCTCCTCTCCAAATGAAGTTAGCTACTCTACTGACCACACTGCAAGACAACACCCCAACTACAGAGAGTGATTTGATTAGCAGCACAGCGATTCTATTAGAGTGATTGGATTAGTATCTGATGAATTATGCTAACTCAGCTGCTGCATCACCACCACATTAGCAGCTCAGGTGTCAGCAGCACTTGAGCTTCAACACATTCCCCATAATAGGTCAGCTTGTTCAAGCTTAAAGCACCACTTATAACTCAAGCTAGACACCTGTGTGTGCACAGAGTTGGGACAATGCTAGTTATAGCTTGAGAAATACTGCAGTGAAAAACAAGCCTGGCCTATGCTATAGCAGCTTCCTAGGGATATGGTGGAATCTCTGCAGGGCCTATGCCAAGGATTCCTTCCACGGCCAAAACCATGGATTTTAAGGCCCCTTTACGCCACTTCAGCCCTTTTACATGGCATAAATGGAACAGAGTGGGGGTGAAGAGTCTGATCCTAAGACTTCAGAACAAATGTTAAAAAGGAACCTTACAAAGGCACGCTCTCTTTGCCCAGAGGTGGGTTCATAATGTAGTCCTTGGTGATTGGTTTTACCCACAATAAGACCATAAGTAAAGGTGCCAAGAAGTTTATATGCAGCAATGTTCTGAAAGGAAAGAGAAAAGGAAAAATATATTTAATACATACAATCATTACACTGGTAATCCAGATTTCTGTACCTCCAAATTGTTGAAAATAATGAGGCTTGGCAGAATTTGTTTTTTTAAATATATTTTGACTGATAATATCATTGTTTAATTTTAAGCATTCTTTTCAATTTTTATAGATTTAAATTTTCACAGTGGCAGGAATTTGAGGCGAGTCAGATAATTATTTAATGCCAGTAGACATTGAGTGTCAAAAAGTTAAAGCTTGATAACTGTAAAATACAAAGTTGTAAACATCACATGTAAAAATATACAAAGTAAATATCCTTAAATAAAACTCAAACTCAGAAAGCACTTTTCTGACTTTGCCTATCAGTAAATTTCAATCATTGATGAAAGTATCTTTTCTTCAGTTTGTATGTATGCTGAAGAAAGCCGTATGTATGTCGTTCATAAGGCGAATATTTTTGGTAAAAAAAAAAAATATATATATATATATATGGAGATATACGTATCTCATAGAACTGGAAGGGACCCCGAAAGGTCATCGAGTCCAGCCCCCTGCCTTCACTAGCAGGACCAAGTACTGATTTTTGCCCCAGATCCCTAAGTGGCCCCCTCAAGGGCTGAACTCACAACCCTGGGTTTAGCAGGCCAATGCTCAAACCACTGAGCTATCCCTCCCCCCGGGACACATCAAAGAGCGGGGGTCGGCTTATAAATGGGTCTACACCAAAATTTGATGATTTTAAACTCTATGGTAGGGGTCGGCAATCTATGGCATGTGTGCCAAAGGCGGCACGCGAGCTGATTTACTGTGGCACACTGCTGCCAGCCTGGTGTCCCTGCCGCCGGCCCCGCTCAGCCCGCTGCCAGCCTGGATGGACAGAACCCCGGGCCGGCAGCGGGCTGAGCGGGGCCGGCGCCCGAGACTCCGGATGGCAGGGGCCGGCAGACGGAACCCCAGACCGGCAGCGGGCTGAGCGGCTCAGCCCGCTGTCAGCCAGGGTCCCGGACGCCGGCCCCGCTCAGCCTGCTGCCAGTCTGGGGTTCCATCCGCTGGCCCCTGTAAATATAAAATGTATTACTGGCACATGAAACCTTAAATTACTGCAAATAAATGAAGACTTGGCACACCACTTCTGAAAGGTTGCCGACCCCTGTTCTATGGGATCATTGAATCTAATACATTGTCATTTTGTTTACCTGGAGCATCTGCAGGCATGGAGCCCCTCAGCTCCCTCTGGCCGCGGTTCGCTGTTCCCAGCCAATGGGAGCTGCAGGAAGTGGCTCCATGCCTGCAGACGCTCCAAGTAAACAAAACGTCCCGACCCGCCAGCGGCTTACCCTGATGGACCAGGAGCCAAAGTTTTCCAACCCCTGAAATAGAGGGTCGGCTTATGAAAGGTTCATACAGTTTTTGCTATTTTTATCTATCCATTTTGAGGGGTTGGCTAATGAATGAGTATCCTTCCAAGCCTAAAAATAATGTGGGAGTTTCTCAATAAAACTGTGAGAAAGTGGTGGAAATAGGGAATTTTTCTTTTCTTCAGCATGCTTACGGGATTTTAACAACAAAAGAATTAGCCATGCAATTTCATGATAATTAATGATTAGATACTGTGGTGAAAGGTGCACAACTTTGAATAAACTCCTATTTCAGTGTATTCTAATGAACCATAAAGAACCACATGTTACACAGCAACATGGTTAATGACAGCTGTTGTAAATATCTACATTGGTATAATGTATGTCTAACCTAAGAACTCAGTATCTCAAACTGATAATTATGGAAAATATTCAATTCCATTAGTGGAAAGTGAGATAAGTAACATATGAATATTTTTGTACTATTTAAAAGATTAATTTTTGTTATTCACGCAAAATCAGGGAAACATTTATCATTTCTGGCAAGTCAAATTTCCCAATTTTGTATAGATTTTCTTAATTGGGAACCTTGACTAACTCAAAGTGAAATTTGGTACTTGCATACAATTATAGACGCTCAGAGAGAAAACATTACAAGAAAGATAGTAGATCATTTCTAGAATAGTTATTTTTAAAAGTATTGGATTCGCAGCAAATTAAACTGGATGGTTAAAATAAAAATAAAAACCAAGTTGTGGGAATGCAAAACAAGAATGAACTTTTTTTTGTTTTTTTAAATGAACCTATGGTCTGTGAAGATATAGCCCATTCTCAGTTCCTCTCATAAAGCTAGCATCAGTACAACCTCAAAAGGGCTTGATTGTGCACTCATTACAGTAAATGGAAATATTTCCATTGACTTCAGTGGGTATAGGATTAAGTGTTGGTGCCACTGCACCACTGCAATATTAGCTGAGACAGACTGCCCATACTCCCATATCTAAAGAAAGTGCTACAATACTATAGGGGATACAGCCAGGTGAATAAAAATTTATCCTAAAAATATCAGATGTCACTCAATTAAAATGCTATTAAGACTCTTAAAACCATCTGTATTTGTATTTTCAGAAGCATCTCATCATGCAGTCTGAGTAAAGCACTGGTTCAAAAATAAAAAGCAGTGCTAGCGATGCAGTGTTGCTAGGGAACACTACAGCATCAAGGAGCAGCTCAAAGCAGTTCAGTAGCTTGTGAAAGGCTTTTACCTGCTCTTCTGCTTATTTAAGTCACACCATTAGGTTAGTGAACAAGAATGTGTAAAGGGGTGGCAAGAATCCATTTTTGTCCATTGGAGTAGTGTGAGAAAGGCTGAAAGCACTCAAAGCAACCCATGGAAAAGGGGTGGATGGGTAACGACAGAAAACACACACACACACACACACAAAAATGGTGCTGCTGAAAGAAAATTAAAAGGATTATCAAAATTAAACATTAAAAATAGCCACCCCAACAAGATTTTTATTCTATATAATACGTCACCAAGAACAAGTATAATTAAATATTAGGATATTACAGTCCAGGATTTTCAGTGGGGATTAGGTACTCAGAAAACCCTGAAGGGATATTTAAAAAACATTTCTGAATTTGGGCCTCTAACTAGGTAAGAAGCTAGATCTGAAAATGTGGCTTTAATCTGGTGTCAACTCCCACTCCCCAATTAAATACCTTTGATTATATAAATAAATAGCCACTTACCTATTCAACCTTATTGAAGATGACACTTGCATTTTATTCTTTAGCATTTTAAAAGATGCTACTCTATGCCTGCTGCAGTTTGAACTTGCTCTTCCTACACAGTTTCCTAATTGCAATGTATTTAATGTGTAACAAATATAAAATGAAGTTGCCAAGTTTCAGTCAGAGGGTTAAAAGAGAGAGACAATTAGGGGTTAGTTTTTTCTGCTTGGTTTTGTTTTGCTTTCTTTATTGCCCTCCTGAAACCACTTCTCTCCACACTATTCTCTTTCTGTATTCTGCCCCTAATCTTACAAGCAGTCAGGGAACGGTGCACATCTGAAACTGGCAGCTGTGCCTCTCTCCATCACCATTTCCTAATCTGCCTAAAAATGTGACCAAAGTGGAGAATGAGAACCAATCAGTGTGAAGCTCCTATACAAGAAGGAGAGAAAAGAACGTTCCTTTATCGGCTCTCCGGTCATCTAGAGAAGGACGGTACAGGTTGAGTAGGTAGGTAGGAAGCTGGCAGGCCTGTTGGAAGACTAGAGAAAGCAGGTGGGAAATGGGGGAGGAAGTCCTAGTGAATCACTAGTTTCTCATTGGAAATGAATTGTATTACTTCTTTGTACATAAAAAAGATATTAAAAGACTGAACAGCATGTATCTATGTATATATATATTTTCTCTTACTGTGTTATTTTTCCTGTTGCTAAATTCAGAGCATCCAGATGCATTTGAGCCAGTCGTAAGCCAGGGAATGTCAAAAAAGCACCAATAAGTGAACAAAGAACAGCCAGGAACAATTTGAAGGTTAGTTTAGACACTGGACCCCTAAAAAAAAAAGGGGGGGGGGGTTAAAAAAATTTAAAGGTTTTTTTTCTCAACACTTCATCCCATCTCCCCAATAATTAACTTTTAAAAAAGGCAAACAGCAAAAAGGCATTCATTCAAGATTTTGAAGAAAGCAGTTTAACTCCATCTTGCTAGGATGCCAAGGCTGGCTGAGCCTAGAAATTACTAGCAATAGATTAGGCAATTTAGAATAAAAACTGAGTAAGCCCACGCAGACTGTACATTTAAAAAAAGGCCAGAAAAAACTTCTATGCAGAAAATAGAAACAATCTTCGAAGAAATATATTTTGTACGTTTGGCACTATGTAGAAAATAACCTGTAAAAAAGACACATCATTAACTGTAAAACACAAAAAATAATCCTTCAATAATACTGAAATCTAGTGAAGGTCAAGGAATAAAAACAGCTGGCAGAAATATTTAACAAACAATGTCAAGAGACAGAGATATACCTGTGATCAACAGTGAAAAGCTAAAGTACATTAGCCACTGTTTTAAGTTATGCTATTGTGCTTGCATTCAACCTTTACCCACTAAGCAGCTCTCAAATATCTTAAACTACTGTTACTCTAGTTACTATCACCATTAGATAAATGGATAATTCTAATTCACTTATCTCCCAAGATGATGACTTTTTAAATTACTGAACCATGCATTATTTTCTAAACGTATAATGGACTTAAACAAAAAACTAGAATCAAGTATTTGAACTTTTTGCACCCCCGTCTTCATGATTATGCAAGAATCAAAGACCTAAATGATGCAATACAAATAGAGATTACTATTAATAGTGGGCAACAAATAGAGTCTAGGGACCCATACAAGAGAATTTCAATAGATGCATTCATAATCCATCTCATTCAACTCCCAAGAGACGCCATGACCATGCAATCACTGCCTGTAAATTGCCAAGATACTGCAGTGAAGTTCAAAAGGGAATGAGGACAGACAGGTACTAACTGGAAAATTAATTAAAAAGTTAGCAAAGCACGATCAGAATAATTTACGAAGAGGACAGATTGCAGGTTAGGAAATGCAAAATGTTCAGTAGAGGTTATTTTTAAGGTTGATTTAGTTAAGACCCAGAGTCCTCAGATACCCCTTCCCAAAAATATTATATTAATATGGTAGTTTAGAATTAACACCCAAAAGAAATGCAAAGTCATGTTCCCACAGTCATCACAATTCACTTTATATAAGGGTAAGTATTACTGACATCCTCTAAATATTTTAAAGCATAGATTAACAAAACAGATATATTTAAAATATTACTTGCAAAAGGGACTATTTATAGTTATTGTGATAGTGTATGTGAGCAACATCACTTTGATTATAGGATATGCCTCTGTCAGTCACATAAAACTTGGGGGTCCTGAGGCAGATGGATCATATTTCCACAAGAGGCAGGATAAAATAACAGCCTGAACACAGAACTAGGAGCCAAAACTGACTTCTACTCTCATCTCTGCCACAGGCTCCATCTGTAACCTTTGGCAAAGCATTTCACCTCTCAGTCCCCTTATCCATACAGTGAGGACAATACTTATCCTCAGAGGTATGTCGAGGTTTACGCAATATGAAGATGAAGTGGTTATATAAAAAGTAGTAGGAGAAAAATGCTTGTAATTTTGAACTGTATTTAATAATTTAACCTAACATTTATTTGAATTTTTTTAAAAACTTAAAGCATTAGACAAAGCAAGACATGTCAAGTAATTTGAAAGCAGAGCTGGATTAGTCTCATTGATCCAGCTCTTTCACATTAATAAACACAATACAAGAGCAAAGCACACAAGTAAATAATCATGAGACAAACACTCACTACCAAAAAACAAGTGGTATGGTAAAAAAAAATTATATTAACATAAAGCACATGGGTGTACTTTTCAGAAACTTACTGGGATTCCAAACCTTGCTTTTCAAGAAACTGCACTGCACTTTCTGAAAAATTAGAAAACCCTGCAAAGAGAGAGAGAGAGATTTTATTTTTTTTAAATCATGGTGCAAACATGGAATATCTCTTGAAAGAAAATGCTAGAAAACAGAACATCTTTTAAATAAGTTTTCATATGTCTGGTTTAGCTCTTTCGTGTGCTAATTAGTATGCCACAATGCAATAAAACTTGGTTATTAGCAGCAGCAGTCTTTGAAAACATCCCTTTGATATTTTGCACTCTATGAACATGAATAAAATTTACATTAATTCTTTAAGAATATAAGTAATTTTTCAGCATCAGAGGAGCCTCACTTAACTGTGTGAGGTTAAAAGGGGTTTAAAAATAAAAAAGGTAAACAAATAGTTAACAAAAAACAAACAACCTACACAGAAAAATACTCTAAAGTAAAGCAAGGCAATTACACAAGATGTACTTTTAATAAAAGATGTTTGGGAATGCAGATTCAAAAATGTCTCTAAAATAGAATTTGTTTTAAAACAGATACTCTAAAAAAAGATATCTGAAGGTATAATATTGATACATGATATTAAAGTAAACAGAGCTCATAAATATGGTCATAAAATTACCTGATTCAAGTCCAAATTCTAGATAATTTTCAGTTACAATAAGGATTGCCATGGCTTTGACAAAGAAAAAAAAGCCAAATGTGACACAGACAGATCTTTCACCTCCATCTTCTACTTTGAAGTAGTGAGTGGTCAATGAGAACAGTGTCTTGCTACATAAGAAAAGTCAAGGAAAAGTAATTTTGTAGAATAAAAAGAATTATACCTTAAGTTGGCTAAGAAGTTATTACATACATTTTAGAAACCCACACTGTGGCTTTGTTCTAGATGTGCAAATTGCAAATAATGCAGTATTTTTATTAGACCAAATACAGACAGAATTATGCTTCATAATGTTGGAACATTTAGTATGCAACTGACATTCCATGACAAAATGGGATTCTGGAAAGATGCCATTTAGAATTTTTTTGTTTTGACTTATGGCCATAAATATCCAAAATATTAAATCTTTTTACAAAAATTAGAATATTGTTCTATATTAAAGAACTTGTTACAAGTTAATACTTCTAGGAAAAATGGAAGCTTACAAGCCAATACACATTTTCCAAAAAAATAATTGCAGAATATTTATCAAATGCTATAATTCAAGATTTAATATATTTAACTCTAATATTCAAAATAGCCAAGATTATACCTATAAAGCAGCAAATGAATACATGCAATTCTAACTCCCAGTGGTAGTTGCACATCCCAGTCTCTGTCTTAAAGTTTCTTAACTATGAAAATCTTAAATGGCAAAATCCTGACTACTGAAGTCAACGACAAACTACCATTGACTTCAACAGGGTCAAGACTTAATAATTTATGGGATGGAAATGGATTTGTGCCCACTTTTTGCTGCTGCTTTATATATGAAAAAACCTCAAAAGTTTTACTCATCCCTTGCTTGTTTTTTACTTCAGAGAAATCAAGATGTCTAATTTAGTCATCCCTCTTTTCCTGGAGGCCTTTTTTGGAGGACTCAGAGGTATGGATTGGGAGCTCTCTCTATCCTTAACTGAAAAGAGGAATGTAGAATATTTAGCACAAAAGCTTTTCCTCAGATGTTTGTTAAGCCTTTGAGTTACACAAGTATTAAAAAAGTTTAAGGAGTCTTAGTAAAAAAAAAAAAAAAAAAAAAATCATGTCCCCTCTCAATCAGGCTTCACTTTCTTGGTACTTATGAGAACAAACCCTACTTATTTCCAATAATTTATTTTACTCTACTCATCGCATAAAAATGGAAATTCTATAAAAATGCAGTGACCTATATATAGCCTTCTTGAAAAAAAATCAGGGTAAACGACAAATATTTCTTGAGAAAATTTTTTGGTATTTTAAAAAATGCTGCCTACCTGGACAGTACAGGACCGCATTCAATTAACAATAACTTTGTACATAAGGAGTAAGCATTTTTATTACTTTGCAGTTTATCATCATGTGTTTGGGAGTTATCAACTATAGAAGTTAATTATTAGCAAACTGAAAACAAAGTCAGTAATACCTAGAAGAGAATTTCAAAAGGGAGAGGTAGAGATTCCACGTACCTTATGCACTCTGGTAAAGTTCTTTCATATAACCAACCCGCCACAAATATGAACATCTGAGAGGTCACCTGATCTTTTATCAAGCAGTTTTTAAACTTTCATTGACTACTCCTCCTTTTAAATGCATTTCTAAATATAATTAGATCCATAACTGCACAACAGATTAAGATCAATTTTTAACTATATACCTTCAGCTCTTATTACTACAAGCTGCAGTCTGCTGTAATGAATTTATTTTTTAAAGTGCAGGAGATCAAATCCATATTCAAATAAAATAGTTGTGTCAATGAGTCCACACTACCCACTTAGAACAGAAAAAGGCCATAGACAAAACATGAAATAAATGTAAGCCATAACCCATTTTTCCATTACACAACACCATAAACATTTATATTAGTACAATATTTTTAAGATTATAAAAGTATTTTAAGAACAATCTATTTTATTTATTTCATTTTAGTGAAACCTTTTGAATAGCATATGCGCTTCTGGGTGAAGATACACTTTTTCATAACAGAATATGGAGGATTCAGTGAGGTGTTGCACTTCACTACTCTTATCTCAATGCATGTTTCACTGCATTTCACTAACACGTATATAACCAGAACAATATACCCTTTAACAAGTGGTTTTCTAAGGGATCTTAAAATTTCACCAATAAATAAAATAAACGTTTGGTGAAATTTTAAGATCGTGTGTGTGTGTGTGTGTGTGTGTAAATACCTTATATGAGAAGTACATAAATCAAAAAATTCTCTTGAAATTTTAAATTTAAAAAAGTCACACCTACTGGATTATTATATAACACTTAATACCTATATGGTGGTATTTACCTACACATTTTAAAGTGCTTTATGTAGACTGGCAAGTGTCATTGACATTTTATAGACTGGAAAACTGAGGCATAGTGTGATGAAGTAGTAAATGGCAGACTCATGAATCAAACCCAGACCTCCTGACTCCATCTTCCATACTCAAGTCACTGAATGACAAATGGTGATATCTCACAATGTATCAGTCACTTGTGGTAATTTGTATTTTCTTCATTTTGAAGGGGCTTAAGTAAATAGCAATTCAGGAATTCCTTCACACTAACTTACTACATTGCTATGATACCAAGGTTAATCAATACCTTACACAGAACACAAAAATAGATTTATTTTGCTGAAATAACTGCACGTCCTCTAAAAATGAAAAGTAGAAGAGCAAACTAGTCACTGCATCCTATTTCTATTCTGAAATAGCTTCTTGCCAAAAGAGTAAATTTGATGCCAGTCATCTCTCATAGACCTTAATTATGTCTTAACTGAAGTTTATCCATTCCACCACCCAGTCAAGTTAAGAAGGCAACAGAAGAGAAAAACCATCTGAAAAGTAACGAGTCACCTATCTCGCTACTGAGTTCTCACAGCATGATAGGCTGCCCCCAACAATATACAAAGACATTTTTGGAAGGGAAATTATTTTTCTTAAAGGATTAGGAAACTTAAGTTACTTAAAAGGCGATCTTTTTATGGTTGTACAGATGAAGACAAGCTGCTTCCAAAATGCAAAATACCTAGTTTTGACCACACAGCTAACTACCATTGCAACAGTCAGGATCACGTGTGGGACCCCATTTAAAAGCATGTTCCCCAGGGAAAAACAAAACACATGCTAATGTAACTTATGTGTATTGTAAAAAACTTCTTTGTCTTAAGATGTCCCAATCAGTTCTTACCATATCAGATTTTTTTTAGGGAATTTCCTCCTTATTAATTTTAAATTGAAACACATTCACTGTCCCAATAGGTTTCAGAGTAGCAGCCCTGTTAGTCTGTATCCGCAAAAAGAACAGGAGTACTTGTGGCACCTTAGAGACTAACATTCTACAGGCCATTATCCTCTGATCCCACTGAGGATTACCTAAAGAAACTACACCATCTGCTAAAAAAACTCCCTGACAAAGCACAGGAACAAATCTGTACAGGCACATGCCTAGAACCCCGACCAGGGGTATTCTATTTGCTACCCAAGATCCATAAACCTGGAAATCCTGGACGCCCCATCATCTCAGGCATTGGCACCCTAACATCAGGCTTGTCTAGTTATGTGGACTCTCTCCTCAGGCCCTACGCTACCAGCACTCCCAGCTATCTTCGAGACACCACTGACTTCCTGAGGAAACTACAATCCATCGGTGATCTTCCAGAAAACACCATCCTGGCCACTATGGACGTAGAAGCCCTCTACACCAATATTCCACACAAAGATGGACTACAAGCTACCAGGAACAGTATCCCAGATAATGTCACAGCTAACCTGGTGGCTGAACTTTGTGACTTTGTCCTCACCCACAACTATTTCACATTTGGAGACAATATATACCTTCAAGTCAGCGGCACTGCTATGGGTACCCGCATGGCCCCACAGTATGCCAACATTTTTATGGCTGACTTAGAACAACGCTTCCTTAGCTCTCGTCCCCAACGCCCCTACTCTACTTGCTACATTGATGACATCTTCATCATCTGGACCCATGGAAAAGAAGCCCTTGAGGAATTCCACCAGGATTTCAATAATTTCCATCCCACCATCAACCTCAGCCTACATCAATCCACACAAGCGGTCCATTTCCTGGACACTACTGTGCTAATAAGCAATGGTCACATAAATACCACCCTATACCGGAAACCTACTGACCACTACACTTACCTACATGCCTCCAGCTTCCATCCAGGACATACCACACGATCCATTGTCTACAGCCAAGCTCTAAGATATAACCACATTTGCTCCAATCCCTCAGACAGAGACAAGCACCTACAAGATCTCTATCAAGCATTCTTAAAACTACAATACCCACCTGCTGAAGTGAAAAAACAGATTGACAGAGCCAGACGAGTACCCAGAAGTCACCTCCGACAAGACAGGCCCAAAAAAGAAAATAACAGAACACCACTAGCTGTCAGCTTCACCCCCAACTAAAACCTCTCCAGCGCATCATCAAAGATCTACAACCTATCCTGAAAGATGATCCCTCACTCTCACAGATCTTGGGAGACAGACCTGTCCTCGCTGACAGACAACCCCCCAACCTAAAGCAAATACTCAACAGCAACCACACATCACTGAACAAAAACACTGACCCAGGAACCTATCCTTGTAACAAAGCCCGATGCCAACTCTGTCCACATATCTATTCAAGTGACATCATTATAGGACCTAATCACATCAGCCATACCATCAGGAGCTCATTCACCTGCACATCTATCAATGTGATATATGCCATCATGTGCCAGCAATGCCCCTCTGCCATGTACATTGGACAAACCGGACAGTCTCTACACAAAAGAATTAATGGACACAAATCTGACATCAGGAATCATAATACTCAAAAAACAGTGGGAGAACACTTTAACCTGTCTGGTCATTCAATGACAGACCTGCGGGTGGCTATTTTACAACAGAAAAACTTCAAAAACAGACTCCAAGGAGAGACTGTTGAGCTGGAATTGATATGCAAACTAGATACAATCAACTTAGGATTGAATAAGGACTGGGAATGGCTGAGCCATTACAAACATTGAATCTATCTCCCTTTGTAAGTATTCTCATACTTCTTATCAAACTGTCTGTACTGGGCT